AAAAAAATTTTTAATATAATATTTATAATTTATAATATAATTTTTTTAATAATATTTTTTTATATAATATTTTCTATAATCAAGAATTATGTGGAAAGTGAATATAGTGGAAAGTGATGCTAATTACCGAGTCTCACCAACGAGGAGGTGACTACATAGAGACTCATATTTAATATAAATATAATACAAATAATTTAATATAAAATTTATAAATAGATTTAAAAAATCTGAAATGTAAATAAAATTTAATAATAATAATACTATGTAATAACAAACTAATCAAAATAAATTAATTTTATTTACAAAAATAATGATCTAATATAATGTCATTCATATGTTTAATATTATGCAATGTAACGTAACATATTATAATTAAATAAAATAAAATTAAATAAAAATAATGCATTCATTTGAAATATTTGCACACATTCATAAAACTTTATATATATATATATTAAATATTAATTAATAACTTTTCATGATAAATTATAATTAATCATAATTTTATCAAATCATAAACATAAATTGTTTATTCTTTTTTGCAAAAGAATTTAAAATATCGAAATATCTCGATAAATCTTTGTAAGAATCGATTCTCGAAAATAAATAAGTGGCAATATTCAGACGATATGTTTATTACTCGCGCGATATAGGTTATGTTATGATTTTGAAAATAAAAAAACAACAAAATGAATATTACCACTAAACAATGGATTCAAATTTTTAAAATACCTTATAATAATTTTTCTATTTTTGGAAAAGTTTTCACTTATAAAAGTGCTTATTCTCTTGATAAATTATACCCTACACATAGTATAAAACTCTTCACACCAACCTTTGTAAGTTTATTGTAATATATCAATATATTTGGAATATATTTACATTACATTACATTACATTATAATGAATCTATATGAATTTGTTTTTCCAAATTATCATTTTATAAATTATTTAATAAATTATTTACATTAATCATTGATGAAAAATCTTATAATATAATTATATAAAATTTTCAGGTTCCTGAGGATCCAAATGCTAAATTTAGTGGTTATATACCAATTAAAGAACTTAATATTACTTATAGCCGTAGTAGTGGTGCAGGAGGACAACATGTAAATTGTACAAATAGTAAAGTGAATCTAAGATTTCATTTACAAAGCGCTAAATGGTTATCAGAAGAGATTAAAAGCAAACTATTGGAACAGGTTTGTAACTTTTAAAATTAATTTTATGGAAAAAAAGAATTCATAATAATATTATTGTTACAGTATAAAGATAAATTATCTAAAGAGGGTTATCTTATAATCAAGTCAGAATTAACAAGGTCTCAACAATTAAATTTAGCCGATGCTCTTCGAAAATTAAGAGATATGATATGGGAAGCGACGAAACCTCCACCAGAAACATCTCCAGAAACTTTAGAATTAAAAAGGAAACAACATCTTAAAGCAGCAAGGAAAAGACTCTTTGAAAAACGAAAACATTCTATGATGAAAGAGTTTAGAAAAGCTCCTATGGATTTTTGATGTTCTTTATATTATATCCTTATATTATATCATATAGAATAATAAACTTTTGAATAAATGAAGTTTAACATATGATATATTGTAGTGATAATTGTACATGATATATAATAATTATAATAATTAAAAATTTTATTTAAACTTAACTTTTTTCTAAATTTTTTAGTTGATTAAAGAAAAATTTAATTATATAATAAAAAAAATATAGAATTAATAATTCTGTATAATATTTCTCATTAAAATTGATTACAATTTCAATGAAAAATCCTTTATTTAATTTAGTTCTATACGTTTCCTTGGCAACGTCCGAAACGAAAATCAAAACATAACGTGAAAAGTTAAAGAAAAATATTGCAATTTAGTTTAATTTTGTTTTTGCATAAAAAATGTCATTTCGTGACTTAAGAAGTAAGTAAATTTTAATTAATAAATATTTTAATACAATATATATGATATACATATAATAATTGTATTTGTTCTTCGATAGATTTCACGGAAATAATGCGAGTTCTTGGTTATCCCAGATTAATTTCTGTTGGAAATTTTCGATTACCGAATTTTCCATTAGTTGCAGAAATTCTTGTTTGGCTGGTTAAAAGATTTGACCCAGATACAGATATACCTAGTGATCATAGTACTGAAGAAGAACGTATCTCATTAATCCGCGCTGTTGCTGAATTTATGGTAAAAAAAATCTTGAATTTTATATTTATTTCTACGTTTAATGAAAATAAATATTTCTTTAAACATTTAATTCCTTTTTTTTTTTTTAATTTTCTTTTCATTTTATTTTTAAACGAATTATATTTTTACATTAAAATTTATTATCAAACGATTTTAATATAGGCCTTAAAAACAAATATAAAATTAAATACGAAAAAATTATACCAAGCCGATGGCTATGCCGTAAAAGAATTATTAAAAGTTGCCACATTATTATACGATGCGCAAAATAACAGTAATATTAATAATGTGATGTCCGATGACAATTTTAATACAATTAATTTCGACATTTCCAATAAGATAAACGAATTAAAGTCAACTAGACAATTAGCTAGTCAGTTGACCGTAACTGGTGCATCACTATTTGATTTGTTAGGACGTGAAGTTGATCTCAGAGAAATTCGTAATTCAAAGGTTGCTAGACAATTTGACATCTCGGAAATCGAGACGGCATTGAAAAGCGTTATTGAAAATATACGTAAAGAAATTGAAGAAACCAAGAAACAAATCGAGAGTGTCAAGGTATCATTACTTTCCGATCTTATTCTTAAAAATATTTTAGATTCTCGATATATAATTTTTCCAATTTCCCATTTAAGGACACGGAACAGAATTTGGATGCAAGGATTGAAAGGCGACGTGCAGAACTCGACAGAAATCAAAAGAGATTGCAAACATTAAAAAAAGTACGCCCAGCTTTCATGGAAGAATTTGAGAAACTTGAAGTTGAATTAAGAATTTTATACGACGATTATATTCAAAAATTTCGTTATCTGGCATATCTCGAACATTTGTACGAAGATTCAGCTAAAACGGAACAAGAGAGATTTGAAAGGCGGTAATTGCGATTAAATAAATTATAAAAGCTAATATATACATTCTATGCAAATAGAAGATAATGTAATATTTCGTAACAGGCAAGAAGCAACGCGAAAACAATTAGAAAAGATGAGAGCGGAAGATATCAACTTCGAAAGTATGATGGAAGGAAACGATTCTATATTACCTACTAATCTTCAAGAGCCACCACCTCCTCTTACCAATATTGAAAAACAAAATACCGAAAAAATAACGTCGAGCAGCCGATTAAAATCAGGTATAAAAAAAAAATAGTACATTTTTCTTTCTAATATTTTAAAAAAAAGATTTCTACGATACATAGATTTAAAATAATTAATTATTTACAACATCACAATAGCTGGTCGAGCATCGAGAATGCAAATATCGCAACGTCGTATTTATGGAAGTATGTCTGGACGTCAGAAAGGAATTATACAAGAATCGAACGACAGTGGTGGATCATTAGATAGCGACAGTGATCTGTTGATCGATGGCGATCTTGACGACGACGACGATGACGATATCTTAGATTCCGTCGTGGGAGGGCCAGAAATTAGGAATTTTGATTTAAAGGTTGGGCAAGAAAAACGAGCCGTTAGTAAGCTAGATCATTCGGATGAGGATTTTTAAACATTTACAAAAAAGAATTACAAAAATTCCAAAATATACCGCCCATGTAATTATCGATCTCTATGCGCATGTTTTTACAATAACTGTAAATAGATATTAATAAAAAGTAATTAATATTATAGTCTTCGTGATCGAATAATTTTGTAAAAAATACTTAAGATATATATGTATATATGTACGACATACGTGTTTTAAATAATTTTTGAAATTCAATTGTTCGTATAATTGTACATGTATTCCAGACTTATATATTTACGAAATATATTTTCAAGGGAATCAAAATACATATTGTCGTCGTATAATATTTATTAATTCTCTCAACACGGCCGAGCGGCATGTTGATTGTGGCTTATTAGCACCGATCACATGTACGTATTCATCTCACCTATCCTACATGCTGTGTACGTAAATACACGTACACTTTCCGTGTATACACATATATACATAAATGTATGTGCGCGTAAAAAATGTGACATTACGAAAGAAATTATAGAAACAGTTTGCAATATTCATTGTCATAACGCTCAAATCTGTAACCACTATCTAGCTGACCATAAATACTCCCACCTTTGTGTTGTAACAATTACGTTCATCTTGAAATGCAACTACTATTATTATTATTATTATTATTATTATTATTATTATTATTATTATAACAACGTTCTTAAAAAACACTTTCAGGGATTAAAAACTATTCTCGCTCGAGACTTGTTCGACAACGAATAAAATCGTGGAACGCAATCTATTATTATAAGTCGCCATAAAAGGTGAACCCAATTATTATTATTTTTTTTTTTTCCTTCGAATTGAAAACGTTCTTCGTTCTATCGTAAATCGACCGATCGAATAAAAAAAATCGGTTACGTGTAAACGGCATTTTTAAAAACATTTTCGCATTCTACGCGTTTCGCTCTATCGGATTAAATACTAGATGTTCTAGATACATATTATACATACATAAACTACCACTATAATTATTGATCCTATGGATATGCGTACGTTTTTCTTTATACGTTGTGCGGATTTATAGGTGTGAAATAAAAGAGAGGGGAGGGAGGGAGGTAGAGGGGGGGGGGGGGGAAGAGTAGAGATCAACAAGATAACGATAGATCAGACGTTTCACATTATAGCCGATGATGATGTAGACCGGAAACGTTAGGCCCTGCGCGATATTCTTCACAATATTTCCTTATATTATATTTTATATTTTTCTCACATCCTATAGTTCGGCTTCGATTCGAACGAAAAATAAAACTCGTACATAAATACAATACCGTATAAAATCGTGAAAGAAGCACCATAGCGTAAGAGATACAGGATCGTCCGGGAAAGTTCGTCGCCTCGGATCTTTGCCGGTCGATCGTGAGTCTTTCTCACGTAGAAAAATATTATATTATTCGTCAGCTTTTCGTTCAGCTTAGCGTCGCAAACATTCTCAACAAAGTGCCGCATCGGCACCACCGCACCTCCAAACATTTTGGCTCG